CCTTCCCCTCAGCCAGGGACTGGGTGTAACTCTCTCCAGAGCCTACGGGAACTACTGCTTCACTGCAAATGGGTGCAGAGAGCATGCTTTGGTATTGCCTGCCCAGCATTTGGGCACAAGCCCCCAGGACGCTGATTGTCAGACACTGAACTGCAGAACTGCTTTGGGAACAAAGTTTGGGAGGACCGATTCCCAGCCCTCTGTTCTAAACACCGGGCAGGTTTTCAAGCCCCCTTAGCTGCAGCTTTGCTTTCATTCTGCGCTGCAGAATGTCACCTTGGGGAAAATGCATAGATGCTGTGAGCGTCCAGGTGGGATTGCAGGAGGCCAGCCCGACCCCACAGCCACGGAGGGAAGGTGGAGCTGAGTGGCCCCAGCAATGGGAGCTGGCTAGGGGCTGCTTTCCCTTCTGCCTCCTCCAGCTCCCAGGAGATTACCCGGCAGGGCTTAGCACAGGAATGAAAAGCAGCTGCCTCATGGCCTGTCTGCAGATAAAGGGCAGCAAAGGAATCCTGGCTGAATGCGCTCCTCTTGGATCAGCGTGGGGAACAGCGACAAGCATGCAAGGTCAGGCACGGAGACAGGGCATCAAGGGCATTTAAAGACACAACACAGCTCAGAGATTTTTTTTGTTTCTCTTTTGGAATCCAGTCTCTATCTGTAGAGCATCTTGGCTGCTGAACACTAATGCTACTGGGTGTCTACAGCACAATCTGTGCATTCACCTTCCTGGGACAACTGTTACTTCTGCCACTAAGCTTCAGCAGCTCTTTCTTTTGAGACACACAGACCCGTTGCTGCAAGTCTGTACAGCAATTAAAGTTAAAAACCCCAGCACAGCCAGGCTGCAGCCAAGTAATTCTTTATGCATTCCAGAAAATATGTCCAGTAATAATTAGAACCAGAGAAGCAGAGATACAAGCACATTTCAAAATGCTCCGTGCCTCCAACACATTCTGCCTCTGCATCTTCGTTATAATCTACAGGAGCCGTAGTACTTCCAGGCACAGATGCCTGCCCAGCTTCACTAGAACAAGTCCCTGAGATCTGCTGGTGTTCTCAACCTGCCCTTGCCAGAGCTCCAAAAGCACAACCAGCAGCCCCCCTGACAAGGCTGGTTCAAATTGTGGGTTTAGCAGAGGTCAGTGGGATGACAGCAGAGAGAAGAGTGGGGGAATTCAGTCGCTTGATGTATGTGACAAGAGGGTAAACTCTATACTGCTCGAATTAGCAGCCGGTGAAGTTGCATCTACCTGTAGTTACATTTGACAATGCTATCGGCAAAGAGTCCGAGAAACCCAAGTGTCCACCAAAGACTCAGCTAGGACCTAAGTAAATTCACTTCCCTCAGGATCAAGTGTTATTTACAACTGTCCTCTTCGGAGAGGGAGTGCTAATGCATTAACACGCACAGTACAGCGGATACAAAGGAGCCCACGAGACTTTATCCATGAAAACCAGAGCGTGATGTTACAAACAAATCTAATATGGAGGAATGAGACCAGAATCCCTGCTTGAAAAATAAGTTAACTAAAGTCAGCCGCCAGAGTGTAAGAGGTGATGCGCTTTTCATCTGTTTTGCATCCAGAGTAACCTAAACGCTGCTGAAAGCGACTCAATAACCCCATGTGATCGATGCACAAGCAAAAGGACACTTCCACCCCAGGAGTTAAGTGGAAATCAGGAATTTGGGGTGGAAATGTCACCTCTGGTCAACAATAGTTTTGCTACTACACCACAGCGACGTCCAAGCAGAGCGAGATGGTGACGCTGTCTCAGCATTTCCTACGGGAGCTGGTGATCCTCTGAAGAAATCCCATAGCTGCTGGGTGTCCCTGCGCTAGGTCCAAGAAGGATTCATCCACTAGCTCTAACAAAGTGCTAGTCCCAAGCTATCTCCTCGTTAAACCCTTCCTGGCAGTTCTAGAAGTTTTACAGCAACTTTGTGGATCACAGGAAAAGCGACAGGAAAATAGGGGTGCTTTCTGATTTAACCTGGATCAGCACATACTCTGCCAGCTTCAAAGGGTCTATGCCAGATTCACGCTGCTGTCACTTTTGATTCTTCTCCTCTACCTTTTCTGCCTCTGGAATCTGTGGCTGCCTGTTCAATCATTTTATCTAGATAGTCCAAAAGGAAAATCAGCAAAAGGAAAACAAGCCACTGAGAACGTTACTTATTTCTCTTGCGTTGTCAAACCCACACGTTTGGAGGGAGTGGATCAGACAGGCTTCCCACAGATCCGCTGTGCTTTCAAACAGCCCCAAAGAGTTTATTGCACAAGAAACTCACAGCAATACGTAAGGTCCTTAAAGTTACACGACTGAGACTTGTAACTAGGACATAAATTAAATACCAGACTAAGCTCCTATTTCCACACCAAAATCCACTGCCACGTCCATGCAGCGTTGTTTCACTCTTGGAAGATCTGAGGGGGATCATAAGCTAAGTCACCAGGGATTTTCAGTCAGCTATTTATTCATTTAGAAATGCAAGCAGGATCCACTGGATTGAACACCGAACTCACAACAGTCAAACAAAATCCCTGATTTCTAACTTCTCCAAAAGTTTGTGACCACAACCCAGCTCCAGTCCTCCCACCCAGCCTCCCAGTTTGGATTTCATACAACATGTAGATCACTAGAGGCTTCCCTTACACACGAGTTTATTTAAAGAAGTTGCAGAGACTTGCAGCTTCCCGCTTTCTAACCCATAAAATAAAAAGCAAGCCTCAACTTTAAAGCTTGCAATGGGGGGGAAAAAAAAAGCCATTTAGAACCTTCATTTCTTTCGCAATTACCTTAAGAAATAGCTCAGCGGCCATGAATAATAAAAGCAATTCAAGAATAATAAACTGCCAGTCTCACCCCATCTCTGCCTGGGTGTCAGCTTCTGTCTCTCCCGTCCTTTCTTCCGCTGCCTCGGTCTCTCCACGTTTTGATTTATTTCTCCCTTCCTCTTTCTTTCTGTCTTTCTCCGGATCCGGATGCTCTTGAAATTTCCTCCGGAATTTCACTTGGAAATCTTGCTAGTTCGGCCGTCGGCCCGAAACGCCCAGCACCCCCCGAG